TTTCGGCCCCTATTGGGGGAGGGGTCGGGTCCCTGGGGTCCCGGACCCTACAGGGGGGTCGCGGGGGGGGTCTCGAGACCCACAGGGGGTCCCGGACCCCAAAAAGGGTCCCGTAGGGGGGGGAGGGGTCCCGGCCCCACAGGGGGTCCCGTAGGGGGTCCCAGCCCCCAGAAAGGGTCCCATAGGGGGTCTCTGCCCCCACAGGGGGTCTCAGCCCCCAAAAAGGGGCCCATAGGGGGTCCCAGCCCCCACAAATGGTCCCGTAGGGGGTCCCGGGCCCCATAGGGGGTCCCGTAGGGGGTCCCGGGCCCTATAGGGGGTCCCAGCCCCCACAGGGGGTCCCGTAGGGGGTCTCGGGCCCCATGGGGGGGGGTTAAGGACCTACAGAGGGTCCCCGGCCCCACATGGGGTCCCGTAGGGGGTCCCGGATTCGGGCGTGTGTGTTTGGGGGGGGTCACGGACGGCGCGGGGGTCGCGGGGCAGCCCCCCCTCCCCCGAGGGCTGTCCTCTATGGCGGGGGTCATGTCGCGACAGGCGATACGCGAGGTCACGTGGTGCCCACTCACCGCTCCGCGACCGCCGCTTCCCCCCGAGTCCCGGCGGCCCCGCTGGCCCCGCCCCCTGGCCCCCCATTGGCCGCCCGCCAGAGGCCCCGCCCACCATTCACCGAGACCACGCCCTTTTACCCAAATGCGGCGCCTCATTGGCCCGTCCGCTTCCGCCCTAGCCTCGCTATTGGCTCAATCAAATGTCACGCACCGCTGAGGCCCCGCCCCTTCCCGCCTCGCGCGAGGGGCGCGGCTTCGTGACGTAACAGGCGAGCCTCCCTCTGCCATTGGCGACACCGCGGGCGCTGACGAGACGGGGGCGGAGCCAAACGAGGGGGCGGGGTCGGGTGATTTCACGTGATTATTCTGGCCCCGCCCTTTCCCGGGTGTCCGGCGTGCGGTCATCCCGCCCAGCAGGGGGCGCGCTTTGCGAGGCCATGCCGGCGCTGCCCGGGCCGCAGGGAGCTCTCTGTAGGCCCCCGCCCCCCACCCCCCCCGGGGGTCCCCACAGCCCCTTTCCCGGCTCTGCGGCCGCTTCTGCCCTCCTCAGGCAGCGGTTCTGCTCTCCCGCCCCCGCAGGGGAAGGGACTGGCACTTCCCTGCCCTTTAGGAGGGTGCAGGCCTCTCCTACAGCCCCTCACCGCCTTTAGATGGGTACCCCAAGGGGCGTTCCACCCTACAGGAGACCCTATGATTGGAGTGAGGGGGTGCAGACCCCTCCCCCCCAAAACGCTCCTCCCTCACGAGATCCTCCCCGCGACCCCTTTCCGTTGTGCGGAGCGATCGTGGGACTACAACTCCCGTCGTGCACCGCGCCCCCCCAGCCGCGCGCAGGCGCAGCTTCTCCTTCTCCCTCTGCTGCCATGGCAACTGCGTGGGCCCCATCGTTATGCGCATGCGCACCAGCGCCGAGCTGCGGCGGGAGGGCGGCGCGCGACCATTGCGAGGCGCTGATTGGTCCAGACGCGTTGTTCCCGCCCACCTGCAGTAGGTGCGGGGCGCTGATTGGTTCGCTGGCGCAGGCCACGCCCATCCCGGCACCGCCCCCCCCGCAGTCGGGGCGCGGCCGCCGCCCCGCACGGACGGGCTCGCACCGCTCTCCGCCGCCGCCATGGCCGATTCCGCCGCGCAGTTCTCGCTCGTCTCCTCCACCTCCTCGTCCAGCTCCGTGACCTCCTCCTCCGCCTCCTCCGCGCGGGCCCCGCTCGGCGGCTGCACGGGCGGCAATTCCATGTCTTGCGCCGGTAAGGGCCGGGCGGGGCCTGCGGGGCCTGAGGGGGGTGAGAGGGGTGAGGCCTCGGCGGGGGCGTGAGGCGAAGAAGCCTTTAGGCGTTGGGTGTGAGGTAAAAAGCGGGTGGGAGGGGCAGAAATAGGGAAGGAAAGACCTTAAGGGAGCGGTTATTGGGGGCAGGAGGCCTTTGGGGGGGCAGATATGGGGGGTAAGCGGCGTTTGGGGGCTCGGTGTGAGGTAAAAAGTCTTTTAGAGGGGGCTGGAAATGGGGGGGGAAGAACATGAGGGGGAAACTGAGCGAGAAAAGGCCTTGGAGGAGCAGATTTTGGGAAGCAGAGACTTGTGGGGGGATTTGAGGGTGATGAGGCCTTTTGGGGGTGGGTGAGAGGTTAAAAGGCTTGGGGGATAAAAATGGGGTGGTTGAAGAAGTTTCGGGGTGAAATGAAGAGGAAGAGGCTTTTGGGGGAGCACAGTTGGGGTGAAAGATGCTTTTAGGGGGGTTTTAGGGAGGAAAGAGGTTTTTTAGAGGCATTTTAGAGAATAAACGGATTTTGAAGTGGAAATTTGGGTGGTGAAGAAGCTTTTTAGAGGCCAGTCTTGATGGGCAGTGACACCTCCACCCCCACATCCCTCAGAAAAACGTGGAAAATTCCGCAGGAAAGGGAGCACTGATGTTTTTTTGGGGTCGGTTTTGGGGGGTCGTTGGGGACCAGCTGCTCCGTCCGTCTTCCCCTGGGATTTTGGGGAGGGGGCATTTCCCCCTCCCCCGGTCCACCCCACCCCTTTCCAGCGGTCATTCCCGGCCATCCTGACTTGGCAATTCCCAGGATTTCACCTCAGCTTTCACACCTGGACACCACAAAAGCCCCAAAACTCTGCGGTTTCGCCCCAAATCTCACCCTTGTGGGGGGAAGCGTCCAGCGCCGAGAAGGGCGGGTGGGAATTTCGGGGTGACATCCCTGCGCCGCTCCCCGCCCCCAAAGGCTGGGAAAACGGGGTAAAACCCCCCACCCCCCCCCAAAAATTCGGTCCAGACTGGAATTTTCCTCGTGGTTTTTGCGTCACCCTAAAAAAATCCGCCGGGACGAATCCGCAGCGCGCCGGCCCCGCCTTTCGGGGGGGCGTTTTTTGGGGGGATTTTGGGGGGTGCTGAGCTCTCACCCTCTGTGTTCTCTTGCAGATCCCTCCAATTCTTCCTCCTTCTCCTCCTCTTCCTCCTCCCAGCCCGTTTCTCTCTTTGCGGCTTCACCAGGCAAGTCTGCCCCTCCCTCCCTCCCTCCCTTCTTTTCTCCTGCGCTCCCAGGAAGAAAAATGTCTCGGGGGGGGGGGGGGGGGCGGAGACCCCGACCCTAAAAAAAGCCCCCTGGATTTTGGGGGGGTCCCCAGAGCCACTTTGGGGACACCCAGAGCTGTTTTGGGGTTCCCCAAGGTCAGATTGGGGTCTGATGTCACATCAAGGGGGTGATTCCTCCCAAATAAACCCCTGGATTTTGGGGTTTTCACCTGTTTTGGGTGTTGGCGGGGGGCAAACCCTGCTGAGCCCCCCCCCCGAAATGCCAACAAAGGGTTAAACTTTCCAAAAATAGACGTTTTTGTTTTTCTGTCTTTTCCTGCTCTTTAAAATGTTTTCTTTTCTCTTTTTCGGGGTGCTCCCCCTCCCCCAGCTTTGCCCCCCACCCCCCTCCTGCACCCCAAGGCTGC